GCCTTTCGTAATAAGCGTTTGAATAAATTAGGTTTTCGTCCAGAATTGCTGGTTTGACCTAAAAAATAAAAATACATTTTCAAATTCCGTAATACTATTCCGTAACACAACTCTATGCTATAACTTATGATCAATGAAAACAATAAATCATAGAATATATGTTATTATTCTGTATTATTTTAGTGAATAATACCTGATTTATTTGAGCCATTCTTGAGATTGATTTGCGCACCGATTCCAGTGAGCAAGAAGTCGATGTTGTGAGATATGGCACAACTGGTCTCAATGTACTTGCAATTGTTGGCTGTGGCTAATTGTCGTCCGTCTAAATACAGACACAAATACTATGGATTAGTCTTAAAATTGATTAATGAAAATAAAAACAGCAGATAGTGCTGAAAAAGCATCAAATCAGCGCTTTTACGGTAACCACTCGTATAAATATAATAAGGTATTTATAGAGAGAGCACTTATGTCTATAGTTTATTGTGATATATAGTAGATATTGATGAGGATTTTAATACAAACCTTGTTTAGTAACAGATCTGCTTCGGACTAAATCTGTTTTGTTTGCCACAAGAATTACAGGCTTGAGCTCAAAGTCATCCCATTTGTGAATTTCTGTAATCACTTTCTTCGCGCTTTCAAACGAATCTCTGTTTAAAATATAATTATATTCATAAATTTACTGTTTTATATTGCAATACATAACATTGCATTCAATCCTAAAATTAGACAAAAAAATTTTAATCCATTAATACTACGAATCAATTGATTGAATGAAAGTGGAGTTCATTTATATTCATCGCATGTCTTGATTGAAAGGTTCAATGCATTAAAGGATTGATTAATTATTGTGGAAACTATTTGTTTGCAAAACTTATTTTAGCGTAAAAAACAAGAATTTAGTTCAAAAGTGAAGTTTTGGTTGTAGTGCTAAACAAGTGACAAATGCTATATTCTGTGTACAGTATATATTCCGTACTGTTTATCAATTTGTATAACTTATACATTAACAAGAATATAGTTAAAGTTCTATAACATTAGTTTAAGTAACTTCTTATTTGTATTAAATTTTTTAATGCTTATGTTATGAATTCATTGCTCCTCTAAACTGAAAAATAAATTCACTTTACAGTAAAAGTAATTTTATTTTTCAGTAAATGTGACTTAACGTCAATACAGTAGTATTTAGTAGATATACAAATCCCAGTCTACCGTATACTATAACCACATATAGTTGTGGAACAATTATTATAATAATTAAAATAATATAAACATTATAAGTATTAACACGTTTAAAACATTTAACAGTAATATAATTTATAATTCATTCAGTTGTTTAAAGATTCTTAATATTTACTATAAATAAATGTTTACAGTTATATACTTTTATTTCTACGCTTATTATTAAAATCGTCATTAAATTCAAATAAAGAGCAGGAAGTATATTGATATTAAACATATACTGTATAACAACCTAAATATTATTGCAAATGATAGTGAAATAAAATAATTGTTTACCTGTCGTTGACGGCATAGATGACAATATATGCGTCGGGCATATAGATAGTGATCGGCGATCGCGGAAAACAATTGTCTAATCTCTCGATTTCCCTAAAGTTAAGGATCAGATACTTTTGCTGTTGATTTGGACCGAATTGTCTTCTCTGGTCCTCAAGAAAATATGAGAATTGAGAGACGAGTGATGTTTTTCCGCTGTCCTGAGAGCCCACCACTAAAATACGGATCACTTTTTCTGCGCCAAAAAAGCCAATTCAATGAGTAAATTAAAACCGAAGAAACACTTTCTCACCATTTTTGAAATGATCCAAATCTTTGGCAATGATAAAATTGAACAAATTTTCCGATTTTCCACTATCTTTCAACTGATTCTTGATATTATATTCATTATTGTATTCTTCATCTTTGGTGAGAATCTTATCGCCAGTGTTGGCAATGTTGGAGGGAATGGAAGCCACTCTTTTGGACTTATTGAGGGGCAGAACAGCTCCGGTGCTGTTTGTGCTCATATTGCTGTTATGTCTTTGGGTGTAACGCATTGATTGGGATCTTCTAATCGATTGAGCCGTTTTGGTAGAAGTCCTTTGAGATGATGAGCTCGAGTATCCAGAAGAAGAGGATCCATACGAAGAATTTCTTCGCGATGGTATTCCAGACATTATTCAGTTATTAATGTTAACTTTTAAGAGAAATTTCAAATTTATATCAATTGAAAACAACTATACAATTGTCATTCACTGAAATTTAAGTAAATATTTTGTATAAAAATAATATTTTGTTGCAAACTTTGAAAACACAGAAAGGCATCAAATAGTGAGTCACAGAATTGTTTTTCAGGAAATTATGAAAACTTTATCTCTTTATATGTTATTTAATCGGAAGCTTCAAAACTGTAGTGAAGGTTCGCAAATGAGAAACTAATGATTTTCTTGCGAGTTTTATATAATAAGTTTCTTTTACAAGTCTTTTCCACACAAACTCATCCGCATCTACAGCATCACTGATTGGGAACATCCCATACAACACATACATCCCATTTCATAAGCAATGTTAACATCAATTGCAAACTGAGTCCGCGAGCTCATGGACCGAGTGCTAAATATAGTCTCTTTGCATCTATTCCTAGTAATTGAGTTTATTTTCTTTACTTTCACTCAAACACAGCACTCAATACAGTATATAGAAAACTCACTCTCGTTTTGTTGTGCTCTCAATAGCATCACATCTGCAGAACCACTGTTCGCATCCAAACATTAATTATTTTTAACGTTTAAATCGGAAAACCATTATTAAGAATAAAATACAGAATATTCTGTGAGTGGAGGGATTGCCAACGGAGTGTACACTTGAATTCAGTGCTTGCAGTTTAGACTCAAACACATGTTAATTAAAGTCGTTATATGAGTACTGTATTAACTAAACAAATACAATACAAATATAGTCTACAATGACTAACTTTATACAGAAGTAAAGCTTTATATACAGTAGAAGCATTTTTATTTAATTCTCTCTCTCTCTCTCTCTCTCTCTCTCAACTGTATTAACTAAACAAATACAATACAAATATAGTCTACAATAACTAACTTTATATAGAAGTAAAGCTTTATATACAGTAGAAGCATTTTTATTTAATTCTCTCTCTCTCTCTCTCTCTCTCTCTCGCCCATTTGTTTGATTTTAATTGTTTTATTTATTAAATTATATTTGATTCTATAAATGTTATGCAATTTTTCACTATAAATATTATTTTTGATCTTAAATTCATATTTATTGTAAATATTGTGAATATATCACAACACGTTGACTGCTGTTTATGTAAACCACAATCTATAGGACATTATTGAAATGAAATGGTGTTTAGCATGAATTTTATGTAAAATCAATTCAAATATGATTTATGACATAAATCTATTTTAAAACCATTGGTTTATATTGAATTGGTTTGCGTCACAAAAACAATAAGAAATCAAAGTTAAGACAAATGTATGAATCGCTAGATTTCTCAGAACGATATGACTTTCCTTGACTTTAAAAACAATAACATTTAAGCAAAAACAAAACAACAAAGAGTTTCTTTTTAGTGAAGTTTATGCGAAAAAATTTGTTTCTAAATCTTATTTCGCGAAAAAACATATTTTTGTTGTTTTAATCATTTTATTCTGAGAAATAATGAGGACAGAGAGTGAGAGAGGGCTCAGTGTCTGTCGTTTTCCTAATATTGCAATTCTTGGAGTTCAGTCAACTCAATGAAGGGATCATCTCCTATATAATCAACATTTTGCTGCAATTAATGATAATTATATGAACATTAATTCAATGAATAGCATCCAAACGAGTGCTCTCGAAGCCAATGAATTATTTGTTTATTGAATAATTACCGTATTATAAAAATACAGATTTTAACAATGGGTGGAAGTTTAGTTTTGTTTATAGTAACAATGTTACTTTAAAAAAGAATCAGGGTGTATTTGACTAAAATTTTATGCATAATGTTGTAATATTGTCTAAAAACCATTGGTTTATATTGAATTGGTTTGCGTCACAAAAACAATAAGAAATCAAAGTTAAGACAAATGTATGAATCGCTAGATTTCTCAGAACGATATGACTTTCCTTGACTTTAAAAACAATAACTTTTAAGCAAAAACAAAACAACAAAGAGTTTCTTTTTAGTGAAGTTTATGCGAAAAAATCTGTTTCTAAATCTTATTTCGCGAAAAAACATATTTTTGTTATTTTAATCATTTTATTCTGAGAAATAATGAGGACAGAGAGTGAGAGAGGGCTCAGTGTCTGTCGTTTCTCTAATATTGCAATTCTTGGAGTTCAGTCAACTCAATGAAGGGATCATCTCATATATAATCAACATTTTGCTGCAATTAATGATAATTATATGAACATTAATTCAATGAATAGCATCCAAACGAGTGCTCTCGAAGCCAATGAATTATTTGTTTATTGAATAATTACTGTATTATAAAAATACAGATTTTAACAATGGGTGGAAGTTTAGTTTTGTTTATAGTAACAATGTTACTTTAAAAAAGAATCAGGGTGTATTTGACTAAAATTTTATGCATAATGTTGTAATATTGTCTGAACTAAAATTTCATTAATGCAAAAAATATTTGTAAGTTATTCGTATTATTTAGTAATTATTCAGTATTTTGCAAGAATTAAGGTTAAATGTAGAGAAAGCAAATTATAGCTATTCTTAGAAACATACATATTATGTATAAATATTATGCTAACTCTGAAAACAATCAATTATTAATGTATTTCATCCAAAATCTTGTTTTCAGCTCTTTTTCACTGATAAGAGAAAGCAAATTATAGCTATTCTTAGAAACATACATATTATGTATAAATATTATGCTAACTCTGAAAACAATCAATTATTAATGTATTTCATCCAAAATCTTGTTTTCAGCTCTTTTTCACTGATTTAATCAGAAGAATGAAGAAACAAATTTATATACAATTTTATTTGAATATTTCCCCAGATTTTATTTGTTTCCCAGATTTTTATAAACAGTTATAAATGAATGTTTTTATGTTAAATATTACGAAATAAAATTTATATTAAAAATATGCATGTGAATAACGTTAAACTAATTAATTGGCAATGATTTTTAAAACTTTAGGTTTTATATTCGTTAAATTTTATTTAATTTTTGAAAATATTATTTTATATCTTGACAATCGGTGAAACACTTATTTTGCTAAAAAAAACTTTAATGATTATAAGTGTAATTTGTTTTGCAATCTAAATGTAAGGAAAACGTTAGTAATTATGGCGTTTGTGATAAGAGATTGTCATAAGAAGGCAATATAATAGTGGGATATTCTATATGAATGCCATAAGAGGGGTAACCTTAAGCACCCGAAGTACAAAATACCAGAATTGTGCACAACTTTGCTTTGGATACAAGAGGTTTGTGTGAAATTCAATTGAA